TTCTTCGGTGACACTTGCTGGTCATTGAGTTCTATTAATGCCACTTCCACTCTTCTCACTATGGTTTGTCACTTGCATATTCAGTTTCGATCGCATTGAGAAAAGTGCTGCTCTTGGTTCCTCATACTATAATACCAACACACGTCTTACGACTAGCTTTGGTTTACTTGTTCGCGCTTTTTCATTCAGCACACCAATGTGGGATCCCTTGATCAGGTCCGGACGCGTCGAATCCGGCGGCATCGCGGAGGACCTGTGTGCCCCCAGGATGCCGGGCGAAGAACCTGAGGAGACTGCGACAGCAACATGAACGGGCTTATTGGGATGCCGAGAAACTGACAATCTGACTTTTCATCTGCCTCTCACCGTGTATCAATATTTCCGTCGATCGGTCTTCTCATTTATCTATCTATCTATCTATCTATCTATCTATCTATCTTCTTTCGAACTATCTACCACTATCTATCTGTCTGTCCTGCTATCTGTGTATCTATCTGTCTCGAAAGGAGGGCTGCAGTGCATGTACGATCCCGCCACACGTTTACCAGGCAACAGAACCCTCTGTCTACCTGGCTGCAATGATATGTATGTATGGATATTTCTATGTATATATATATATATATACATATGTACCCATCTAAATACATCTCTGGGTATAAGTGTTATATATATATATATATATCTACATATATATATATACACATGTATACATATACATACATATAAATATATCTTACGCATAGAGAAACATATGCATATGTGCATGTGTGCGTGCTTTGCGAACCTTCGCAGTCGAGCTTGGGCCCGAGTCTTTCTCCGAAGCTTCGACCCAACCCTGTCCGGGCTGGATGAGGCCTTGCAGATATAGGATGGTCTTTAGTAATGTAGTGCTTAAGGGGTTTAGGGTCTGTAGTGCTTAAGGGGTTTAGGGTCTAGGGTTTAGGATTTGTTATGTGCAGGGTTTAGGATATAGAGCTGCGGGCTGTAGATACCCAAGTTCTTGGATGAGACACACTCCGGATGCTGCGACTGGCTCAACCTGCCGGACTGGCCGCGATCTCAAGGCATGGTCAGCATAAACAAGACAGGTACCAATGCTACTAAAGCAGATGAAATTTGTCGAGGAAAGGGGTACCAATTCAAGGAGCCAAATTCCGAAGCCACGAGGTCCCTCTGTTCCTACGGCCTCATAGCTCGCAAACTTCATCAGGAGTGTGGCATGTGCAGTCATGGTGTGGTGGTAAGCTGAAAGCTGGAAGAGCGCCCTGTACCCTGCCTGTTTTGCTTGCAACTTCACCCTCAACCAGTAGCTCCTATTGTAAAAATCGTAGGTCAAAGCTCTACACACACACACACACAAAAAAAAAAAAGCACAAGACAGCATGATGCGGGATGTCCGCCTGTTTCAATTCATTGAAATTGCACCCAAGCAACGTGGCGCTGAGTTCGAAAACAAGTCCATGGAGGCTGACCTTTCAGATCTTATGAGTCTGCGTATGGAGTTGACAAGGGTTCTACGTTTCCTTGGGGCTTTAGGTCTTGTTCAGCTCCTTGTTTTCCAAAGTGGATTGTGGGCAAAAACGAAGGGTCTTGAGGCCTTTTGTCACCGGTTAGTAGCAGTAGTAGTACTGTAGCAGTAGCAGT